GCTATCAATTTCACTGTTGTAGCAGGTTTAGTTGACAATAGAGATTCGTATAGTATACGTGCGAATGTCGTTGTCTACTTAATTGGTAACAATTTGAACAATATCCGCTCTATTTGGACCTATACACCATCGAATAACAGCTGGCACAGTGAATTGTCTTTTTCGGGAACTAAGAGCTGGTCTGTTAAATACACTATGTCTGTTGATATCAACAACTTTGATCCAACACGCGTATTAGTCGGCATTCCTTATCTCAATACTGTCTTTCATTTTATCGTGAGTAATGATGGAGCCAAACTGACACTGTCCAGCCAAGCAGATAATGGAAATGGTGTTGGCTTTGGCAAAGGTGTTGCTTGGCTAGGATCTGATCAAGCTGCTATTCTTGCCAATAAATACAAGTCCACATTTTCAAGTTGGTTATCTTCACAAATTTGGCTCTACACTCAACTGCCTACAATGGGTCTTGACACAGCGCCAACAGCCATTATACCTAACAGTCAACAGCCTTTGCCTTTGGCTATCGATAGTCAATTTCTCAACATAGTCTCCACTCCAAACTCATTAGCTGTCTTAGACGTAGCTGGTGGAATTCTTCTTATATTATCTACAGCACCTGGTTTCTATGCTTCAACGGATACGAGTCTTTCGTCAGAACCTATTTCAATACCTGTCATTAGTACAGAGCAGAAATGTCCTGCAGGAACAATGAAGAATGATATGGGAATTCATCCGTGCTCTCTTTGTTCTTCAGGCTCGAGAAGTTCAACTGGTAGCACGAACTGTACAGCATGTGCTTCATCCGCATTCTGTCCTCTTGGTGCTGTGGCCGAAATGCCCCAGAGCGAATTGGAGACGGTATCGCAAGCATATGCCTACCCGAAATCTCCTGACACGACTGTATTCGATGATATTCTCTTGTCAAATGTGTTTCAAATTAGCTCGACTAGACACTGTATTGTGGTATCACCTTTATTCTGGACTCTCATCGCTCTGATTCCAATATTGTCTCTCGGTTGCATTGTAACAATTCTCCAGGTCTGCGTTCAAAAGTGGCGTCGCTCTGTACACATCAAGAATTTAAAAAAGATTTTCAAGGGAACCGATTTCATAGTAAGTTATTATGATTTTTTGAAAGTTTTGATAATAAGAACTGAAGTGCATAAGTAAAAAAAGATGCCTTCCCCCGTTCTCAATCCCGCTATAGAGATTCTAACAAACATATGGACATCCTATGTAGAACTTTTGAAAAGCAATATATTTTGTTTCAATATCTATACGACTTTGATCAGTCCACATTACTCCTTCAGGAAATCATGAACTGACAATGCTATTCGTTATTGATGTCATAGCTACCACCACTAACTTGTCGCCCTAGTTATCAGTAGATATATGACGTGCATGCTGTTGGCTAATATGACTTTCCACTTCACTTACTCTTTCTTTCCTCCCTTATGGTCTTTTTCAATGCAGCAGAGGCGCTTTGCTTCTTCACATAATTGTGACTTTGTCTTTGATCATCATGTTTTTTTTCTCTTCATCTTGATTATCAGTCTATTTCTTCGATTGAGATATTCAAGAAAGATCAATAGATTCATTTTCTATGCGTGATTGCTCGTTCTTCCATGATATGTTTGCAATTAGTTCGCCAAGACTGGAGAGGATACCTTCGTAATAAGATTCATGAACTGGTGGTTATTCAATTAATTGGATGTTTCTTTTTAACTGGCCTGTTTTACTACTAGTTCTTAATATTCCCTGGGCCTACTAAAAATTTTCTTTCAGTCACAGAGAAAAGTTGCGAATGAAGGATTTCGATAGCAGTTAGTTTCCGCATGTAGGCTGTGTTCTTCAAACTTGTTTAAGCTTGTTAGTTTTATCGTATGAATGAACAGAATAGATATTCTATCTTTTCCTGAAAATAATTAAAGTTAAGTTAACTTTCGAAGGAAATTTCTAATTTAATTTGGTGGAATGAAAACGATCAGTACAAGCTTATATCAAACTAGGATCAGCTGATCATTCTGTTAGACTTTCAAAAATCACGCAGTAGAGATTTATTGCAAAAATATTTCTCTCTAAAGAACTATCACATTCTTTTCTTGCAAATTTAACGAAATGTCCCGTAATGCTAGAGATCAAAAGGAAGAAAAGAAAATCTCGATTCAACATGATCCATGTTGTATTCAGTTCTGATAGTGTAAACTATTAACTCTATTTTTCCAAGTGATGTGTATCTCAGCCAAAGGATACTATTCTTGCGTTTCTGTCAGTCTCTTTCTAAGAAAAATACGTTTTCAGAGTTGCACATTTTGTTTCGTATATTGGTTAGAAACTTTTCAGTTCTATAGAGATTGAAGAAGCAAGAATATAAAGAGAAGTAGTTCTAAAATTGTAATGAAAACATTGATATTTTCTTGTACTCAATTTTTAAGCAGCAAACATATGATCTCAACTAATTGGTTAGCATCGCAGCAATTGTTTTTCACAGGTGAATGAAAACGAAAGTAAAAAATCGGAGTATAAATGAAGCCCCTATATCGTCAATATGATTTAGAGGAATAGGCTGAAAGCATATAAAACTATTTATGCTGTGATAAAGAGAAAACATTAGCCAACATTGACGTAGGCTATCTAAGTGCAGCATAATGTGTAAAGAATAACAATATTTATAACATTCGAATGACTTAATTCCAACGATAATAATAATGATTCAATGTGAATCGGTTATTTTTAAGACAATTATGCAAACTAAGAGCATCTTTTACGCATGTAAATCAATGAGATTGAAAAAGAGTGACAGAACAGTGAACAAATCTACAGATTTGGCGAAAACCAGCTGTGAGCTATGATTCATTTTACCCGTTTTCTTCGAAAACGATAGACTTGAAGGCGATGCACAGAAGTTGGACGAGGTGTGATGTGTGGGTGAGATTATCTTTTTTATCCGTACTCGTATAGGTATCTCTAAATCGAACACTGAGTTTTTCTTAGTTAGTGCAATAGACTTGTCAAGCCGCACAAAACAATGAAAAAGTTTTTCTGTTCGGTGTTTAATAAGCTAATATTTCCCTGATGCTACGAGCTGACTTTACTTGCCTTATTTTTATATAGACTGAAGGCGAATTCTGGATTGGCGGTTTGGTCACAATTGTTCTGATTGTACTCGTCTCCCAAGCATACGCCTTCAGTACAAAATTCATCGCACAGTATCCAGCAGAA